TTATTATGTTATCTATTTTTATATGTAAGAATAATAGTAAACACAATAATAATGACTCATTATGTTTGAATTTTTCCCTCCAAAAAAATGTTTGTAGTGCGTCTAAATCTAATAGGGGAATATACAATTTTATATACGGCCCACGGAGTTAGGATGCATTTCCAAAAGTGGCCCACAAGATCATTTGGGTGGCCACCCCTGCACTAGTATATCAATTAAATTTCTGTTCAAATATGAATTTGTTATTCATATTTAGTTTGAAATTTCGTCACAAATAATATTTCCAATTACATTCATGCTTCCTTCATTTGAACAAAACAAAGTACTATTTAGCAGCTAAATGATTCATTTTTTTTCCGTGCACAAAAATTGCTATTCTGTGACAATTATGCAGCAATCATCCGTGTTCGGGTTGGCTGGCGCCATGTTGAAAACAGCAATCCCGAAATGGCATTGCTTTGCTTTGCTTTATTACCATATCACTTCCTATTCGGTTTCGCTTTTCTACTGCCCTGTTACGGTGACACACAGACGACCTTTCTATGGTACCATCCCCCCCCTTCTCCGATGTTTTGTCTTAGGTTTCTTTTCTCTCCTGATGATGGTCCTCCCTGTGTGAGGCGAGGTCGTACGGGTTGGTGTCGCACTCGCTAATCACCACCAGGAATCTGCACTTAATCCCGCTAATGGATGTCGAGCGAACAAACAACGAGAAATCATTTATTTATTTATTGTCCCTGACAAAGTCTGTCGAACTTCGTGATTTATTTATATCCCTCGTTGGGATGAAGAGATATGTCGTCTTTGAAAGTTTCAGTGATTGATTTTCTATTATTATTTTGTACCTGCGTTGTATTTGAGGAAATGGCTGCAGTTAATCATGTTTTGCGATGTTATAAATCAGTATCGCGTATGATAAAAGATTTTGTCGGAAGTTAGTTTAAGGGATGAAATAAAATTTGTTTCGCTTGAAAGTTCCAAAAGGAAGCATTTTATGAAAATTGGATGCACAAATCTCTGCCCAACGTCTCTTTTCTGACAGTCTAACTAATAAAATGTTAATTTAATAAAAAAAAAATTAATAAGTAACTTTTTTTTAAAAAAATTCTTAGGTTCTTAATAAACAATAAAACACGAAGTATGATCTGTATTTAGCTTCGTAAAAATTAATAATAATAATAATAACAAAGATATAAATATTAGAAAAAAATTTTATTCAATATTTTCTAATTTATTACATGCTAAGACCTAGGCCTGATGGCTGAGTGACTGGCGCTCGATACCACAGGTTCGGGCTCGCGTCCCGAAAGTATGCCTGGGGTGCCCTGGGATGTCATGGATGCTTGTAGTGGTTCGGAATCCACTTTAAATCGTAGGTCCCAGTCTAATGGGAACGTAGAGAATTGGGGGGGGCAGTGTTATTCGCGTCCGTAGCATATCTTCAAAAATGGCCCCTGGGTAGTGCTGGGTATTACATGTGTCCCCCTGGTAGTGCTAAATGAATAACAGGGGTGCTGTCCTTGCTAATGGCATACAGATGTGCTTACACTGCATTGCCAGCTGCATTAGAACAACATATTCATATTTGGTTTATATATATTCATATCTGGTTTATACATATTTGATTTAAAGAGTTTGCAATACCATCTATTTCATCCTTCATTTGAACAAAACGAATAACATTTAGCAGTTAAATGATTCATTTTTTCTTTACGTACATAGAAATTGCTATTCTGTGACGATTATGCTGCAATTATTCATGTTCGGGTTGACTAGCGCCATGCTGAACAGCAATCCCGAAACGACATTCTGGATATTTTAATAAAAATTTTGATAATAATAATAAAAATGGCTTTTTTGGAGTAGTTATTTTTGTATTGTCATTGTTTGACAACTATTATTTCAATTAAATTTATGAACAAATATGAATTTGTTATCCATATATAGTTTGAGATTCCTTCACAAATAAAACTTCCAATAACATTTATTTCATCCTTATCCATGTTCGGGTTGACTAGCGCCTTGCTGAACAGCAATCTCGAAACGACATTCTGGATATTTGAATAAAAATTTTGATAATAATAATAAAAATGGCTTTTTTGGAGTAGTTATTTTTGTATTGCCATAGTTTGACAACTATTATTTCAATTAAATTTATGAACAAATATGAATTTGTTATCCATATATAGTTTGAGATTCCTGCACAAATAAAACTTCCAATAACATTTATTTCATCCTTCATTTGAACAAAACGAAGTACGATTTGATAGTTAAATGATTTATTTTTTTCCGTACACAAAAATTGCTGTTCTGTGACAATTATACTGCAATCATTCGTGTTCGGGTTGGCTGGCGCCATGTTGAACAGCAATCCCGAAAATGGCATTGCTTTGCCTTATTACCATATCGCTTCCTATTCGGTTTCGCTTTTCTACTGCCCTGTTACGGTGACACGCAGACGACCTTTCTGGGGTAACATCCCCCCATTCTTCGATGTTTTGCTTTAGGTTTCTTTTCTCTCCTTATGATGGTTCTCCCTGTGAGAGGCAAGGTCGTGCGGGTTGGAGTCGTACTCGCTAATCACCACCGGGAATCTGCACTTAATCCTGCTAATGGATGTCGAGCGACATACAACGTTAAATCATTCATTTAATCATTTATTTATTTATTGTCCCGGACAGTGTCTGTCGAAGTTCGTGATTTATTTATATCCCTCGTTGGGATGAAAAGATAGCTCGTCTTTGAAAGTTTCAGTGATTGATTTTCGATTATTATTTGGTACCTGCGTTGTGTTTGGGGAAAGTTAATCAATTTTTGCCATGTTATAAATCAGTATCGTGGATGATAAAAGATTTTGTCGAAGGTTAGTTTGAGGTAGGAAATAAAATATGTTTCTCGCTTGAAAGTTCCAAAAAGAAGCAATAAGCAAATATTTTATGATGCTGGGATGCACAGATCGCTGCTCATCGTTTTCTCTTCTGACAGTATATCTTATAAAATGTTAATTTAATAAAACAAATTTAATAAGTAATTTTATTTTAAAACATTCTGAAGTTTTTAATGAATAATGAAACAAGAAGTATGATCTGTATTTAGCTTCGTAAAAAAAAATATAATAAAATAAAAAATATAGAAATAATAGAAATAATAAATAAAGATATAAATATTAGAAAAATACTTCATTCAGTGTTTTCTAATTTATTACATGCTAGATAGGGGCCTGATGGCCGAGTGACTGGCGCTCGGTACCACAGGTTCGGGCTGTAGACCCGAATGGAAGCGTAGGGTTCCCTGTGATTACATGGATGTTTGTAGTGGTTCGGAATCCGTTTTAAAGCATAGGTCTTTGTTTAATGGAATCGTAGAGCTTAGAGGGGGTAGTGTTACTCGCGTCCGTAGCATATCTTTAAGAGTATCCCTGGGTAGTACTGGGTATTACACTTATCCCCTGGGTAGTGCTAAATGAGTGACAGGGATGCAGCCCTTGCCTATGGCATAAAGATTAGCTGTCTCTGTATTGCCAGCTGCATTAGAAAAACATATTCATATTTAGTTTATATATATTCATATCTGATTTATGCATATCTGGTTTAAATAATTTCCAATACCATTTATTTCATTTTTCATTTGATCAAACACGAAGTACCATTTAGCAGTTAAATGATTCATTTTTTCTTTCCATACATAGAAATTTCTATTGTGTGACAATTATGCTGCGGTCATCCATGTTCGGGTTGACTAGCACCATGTTGAACAGCAATCCCGAAATGACATTCTGGATTTTTGAATAAAAATTTTGATAATAATAATAAAAATGGCTTTTTCGGAGTAGTTATTTTTTGTATTGTCATAGTTTGACAACTATTATTTCAATTAAATTTTTGAACAAATATGATTTTGTTATCCATATATAGTTTTAGAATCCTTCACAAATAAAACTTCCAATACCATTTATTTCATTCTTCATTTGAACAAAATGAAGTACCATTTAGCAGTTAAATGATTCATTTTTTTTCCGCACACAAAAATTGCTATTCTGTGACAATTATGCAGCAATCATCCATGTTCGGGTTGGCTGGCGCCATGTTGAAAATAACAAACCCGAAATGGCATTGCTTTGCTTTGCTTTATTAATATATCACTTCCTATTCGGTTTCGCTTTTACACTGCCCTGTTACGGTGACACACAGACGACCTTTCTGGGGTAACATTCCCCCCCTTCTCCGATGTTTTGTTTTAGGTTTCTTTTCTCTCTTGTTGAGGCAAGGTCGTACGGGTTGGAGTCACACTCGCTAATCACCACCAGGAATCTGCGCTTAATCCTGCTAATGGACGTCGAGCGACATACAACGGGAAATCATTTATTTAATCGTTTATTTATTTATTGTCCCCGGACAGAGTCTGTCGAAGTTCGTGATTTATTTATGGCCCTCGTTGGGATGAAGAGATAGCTCGTCTTTGAAAGTTTCAGTGATTGATTTTCTGTTATTATTTGGTACCTGCGTTGTATTTGAGGAAATGGCTGCAGTTAATCAAGTTTTGCCATGTTATAAATCAGTATCGTGGATGATAAAAGATTTTGACGAGGTTAATTTAAGGAGTGGAAATAAAATATGTTTCGCTTGAATGTTCCGAAAGGAAGCATTTTATGAGGTTGGGATGCACAAATCGGTGCCCATCGTTTCTTCTCTGGCGGTATATCTTATAAAATGTTAGTTTAATAAAAAAAATTCATAAGTAATTTTTTTTAAAGATTACTTTTTTTTTTAAGATTAAATACGTAGTATGATCTGTATTTAGATTCATAAATAATAATAATAAATAAAGATATGAATATTAAAAAAATATTTTATTCGGCATTTTCTAATTAATTACATGCTAGATTAGGGGCCTGATGGCCAAGTGACTAGCGCTCTGGCGCTCGATACCACAGGTTGGTACCACGGTTTCGTGGTCAATTCCCGGCGTTGCCATGGACGTTTGTAGTGGTTCGGAATCGGGGCTTGATGGCCGAGTGGCTAGGGCTCTGGCGCTCGGTGCCATGAATGTTTTAGTGGTTCACAATCCACTTTAAGCCGTGGGTCCCGACCTCATATGAACTTAGAGTCACAGAGCCCATCAGATTTCTTCTCACCCACATCAAACTGTAAAGAGGCAAGTCAATTCTAGGCACAGTTACGTGGTGTGGTGTAGTGTGGTGTGGTGTGGTGTAGTAGTAGTAGTGGTTCGTAATCCACTTTAAACCGTAGGTCTCGGATTAGAATCGTAGAGCTTGTTGGGAAATGTTACTCGCGTTCGTAGCCTGTCTTCAAACTGCACGTGCCTCCTCTAAGTAAGTAACGTCGCTGCAGCCATTGCTTATGGCATAAAGATTAACTGTCACTCTATTGCCAGCTGCATTAGAACAACATGTTAAATCAAAACCTTTGTCAGTAATTTGCTAACCTAGACAGAAAGTACCTGTCTTCGTAAGATTCTTGCATTTCTTATTAAAAACTTTTCATTATTTTGAAGATGCATTTAGCGAAGTGGATGGGGTTGTTGCTATGTAAAGCACTAAAATGAGCATGTAATCAACGCATAATTACAAATAAAAAATTTTAGGCGATGTATATGGAAAAAAAATCGATACAAAAAATAATGCGGGTAATCTTTTTTGTGCTTGGTTAATACAAGAAACGAATGAAATACTAAAATATTTACTAAATTAATGTAATAGCGAGCTTAAAATTCTTTATTATTTTTTTTATTTATTATTTCCTATTATTTTTAATACATCAATAAATGAATGTTATATATGTTTTGTTTGTGTATGAGTATGTAATATGTGGTGAAGTTACTATGAAAATGAACCCACGTTCTCACAAGCATTGGATTAACATATAATTATAAACAAAAATTCTTCGCCGATGTATATATAAAAAAAATCGATAAATAAAAAATAATTCGGCTAATCTCTTTTGTGGGGCCTGATGACCGAATGACTAACGAAATGTGACATTTGGCCGAATGTGACATTTTAATGCTATATAGAACTTGAATGCATATTCAAATATGCTAAATTTTTTAACAATTCTATTGTTTAAAAATTATTTAACTACCAAAAATATTTATTAAAATATTTAGTTGCACTCTAAAAATAAATTTATTTACTACATACATACTATATAAAATTAACAAATTCCTAATTTGAGAAATAAATTTATAGTTCAAAACTAAAATAATTTTTTTTTTCTAATGCAGCTGGCAAACACAGACATGGACGTCTTGGATGCCTTAAGGCACGTGCTGCACAGACGTACTCACTTTGCATTACCCAGGGGGCGCGTGTAACTTGAAGATAAGCTACGGACGCGGAGTAACAATGCCCCCGCAACGCTCTACGATCCTATTAGACCGGGAACTACTTTTTAAAGTGGATCCCGAACCACTACAAACAACCATGGCACCGCCGGTACTCGAACCCAAAACCTGTGATACCGAGTGCCAGAGCGCTAGCCACTCTGCCATTCAGGCCCTCAAACTAAACTAAATAAAATGTTGCATTTTAATGCTATAGAACTTGAATGCATATTAATGTTACGTTTAAAAATTATTTAACTACCAAAAATATTTATTAAAAAATTTATTTGAACTCTTAAAATAAATTGAATCACTAAATAAATACTGGTTATCTCCTCTTCGTGTTAAGATTAACAATTAGAAATAAATTTATAGTTCAAAAATAAAATAAATAAAATTTTATTCGCAATAAATAAAAAAGTAATATATAGCATTTTGACCATATTTTGTATCGAAAGAATTTCTCTGCTAAATAAACACTATAGAACTTGAATGCATATTAAATACGCTAATTTTTTTAACAATTCTATTGTTTAAAAATTATTTAACTAGAAAAATATTTATTAAAAAATTTATTTGCACTCTAAAATAAATTGATTCACCAAATAAATACTGGTTATCACTTTTTCTTATATAAAATTAAACAAATTCCTAATTTTAGAAATTAATTTATAGTTGAGAAGTAAACTAAATATAATTTACATTTTAATGCTATAGAAGTTGAATGCATATTAAGATATGCTAATTTTTTTTAACAATTCTATTGTTTAAAATTATTTAACTACCAAAAATATTTATGAAAAAAATTTATTTGCACTCTAAAAAATAAATTAATTCACTAACTAAATACTTGTTACGGCCTTTTTCGTGCATAAAATTAACACACAAATTCCTAATTTTAGAAAATAAATTTATAGCCCAAAACTAAAATAAATAAAATTTTATTTGCAATAAATAATAATATCATTTTGACCTTATTTTGTATCGAAAGAATTTCACTCTGCTAAATAAACACTTCCTCCTGTTATTTATACAGCCTGCAATAGATAAAAAAAAATGGCACCTCACTTTGAAATTTCCATATAAAGCATTACTAATAATAGCCAATCAGAATGACTTATTTACGAGATGCGCTGTAAAACATGGTTCCCCACTGTCGGGGACAACACTCCCAGTAAACAGAATTTATTTCGCAACCCGTCACAGATTCAGAGTGAAGAGAAAACGTAAAGTCACTCAAAAAGTGTTTCATTACTTAATTCGCTTAATCTCCGTTAACCACCCACTGGCTGGCACTAAATCTTCCACCGCTCTATAGACATCGAGTCGCGAGCTTTTGTTGTCTGGCGTCACAGTGTCCAGTAAAGACACACAAATGAACGGTCCTTATTAAGAAATATGGGGAACCGAATTCGCAGCCCAAGAAATATGAGGTTTTGACTACTCCCCTATCTTCATAAAAGCACTTGGTTTCCGTAGCGTCTCCCTTTACACGAAGCAAGGTCGAAATTAACACAAAATCTAGTTTCTAAACAATACTATGGGAAAATGAACACCATAATGGAAAGAGTTTTATATCGTAACGTGGTGTTGTGTATACTGTAGATCAGGGGTGGCCAACCCAAATGATCTTGCGGTTCACTTTGGAAATGCATCAAAACTCCGCGTGCTGCATTTAAAATTATATATCCCCATATTAGATTAGCAAATTACATATCCCCATGTTAGACCCACTATAGACATTTTTTTGGAGTGAAAAGTTGAAACGGAACGAGATATTATCTGTGTATTGACTATCATTCTTACATGTAAACACAGATCATTCAAAAATATTTATTTTACTAGTGCGATACTTGTTTCTCCTCTCTTTCACTTAGTTTTTGCAAATCGATCTCAATTCGGGTATTTTCACATCGTAATATGTGTTGCATCCGTTACGTTTGCGCGTTTTTTGTGTTTGATCTATTTCATTTTCGTAAAAAACGATTCGTCGGTGTAAGTTGAACCAAACGCACCCACTGGCTGGCACTAAATCTTCCAACCGCTCTATAGACACCGAGTCGCGATCTTTTGTTGTCTGGCGTCACAGCGTCCAATAAGGACATTATTAAGAAATATGGGGAACCGAATTCCCTTCCCAAGAAATATGAGGTTTTGACTCCCCTATCTTCATAAAAGCACTTGGTTTCAAAAGCATCTCCTGTTACATGAAGCAAGGTCTAACCTTGATTATTAACGCAATAAAAGTTTAGTTCCTAAAGCAGGGGTGGCCAACCCAAATGATCTTGCGGGCCACTTTGGAAATGCATCATAACTCTCCAGGCCGCGTATAAAATTATGTATTCCCATATAAGATTTAGACCTACCATAGATATTCTTTTAGTGCAAAAAATTGAAACGTAATGAGTTATTATTATTGTGTATACCATTATTCTTACATGTAAAAATTTTTTTTCGTTCTAATGTAGCTTCTAAACACTTAAACAATTGAATAGGATGCCTTAACGCAAGCACTGCACAGACGTTACTCACTTAACAATACCCAGAAGGTGCGTGTAGCTTGAAAATAAGCTACGGATGCGGAGTAGCATTACCCCCGCAGCGCTCTATCATCATGTCAGACCGGGACCTACGGTTTAAAGTGGATTCCGAACCGCTACAAACATCCATGGAACAGCCGGGACTCGAACTCGAAACCTGTGGTACCGAGCATCAGACCGCCAGCCACTCGGCTATTCAGGCCGTATATATAAAATTATATATCCCCACATTAGATTTAGACTTACTATACACTTTTGTTTTGGAGTGAAAAATTGAAACGTAATGAATTATTGTTTTATTATTTTTACATGTAAACATAGATAATATAATAATGATGATACTAAACGTACACTGTAAAGAAATATATAACATTCAAAATGAAATATAAAAAATATATAAATATAAATGAAATAAAAAAAATGAAATCATTTAAAATTTTTTATTTTACTAGTGCGATATGGGTTTCTTCGCTCTTTCACTCAGCTTTTGCAAATCGATCTCAATTTGGGTGTTTGCACACCGTAAGAGGTGTTGCGTCCGTTATGTTTGAACATGTTTTGTGTTGCATTTCATTTTCGAAAAAAACCATTCGTCGGTGTAAGTTGAACCAAAAACTGGCAAAAGCACCAACTGGCTGGCTGGTACTAAATCTTCCACTCTATAGACACCAAGTCGCGAGCTTTTATTGTCTGGCGTCACAGTGTCCAATAAAGACATTATTAAGAAATATGGGGAACTGAATTCCCGGCCAAGAAATATGAGGTTTCGACTCCCCTATCTTCATGAAAACAAGAAGCATCTCCTGTTACACGAAGCAAGGTCTAACCTTGATCATTAACACAATAATGGCTAGTTGCTAAACGATACTATGGGAAACTGAACACCAAAATGGAAAGACATTTTACGTCGTAACGTAGTGCTGTGTATATCCGTTGTTTTCCTGCGGTTGGGTGACATACTATATTTTTAACTTTAATAAGCCACCTGATAAGTTAAAAATTGCATATGTGCAAAACAGTGTAGAGCATTTCAAAAAGTAAATATGTTCTAGATCAGGGGTGGTCAACCCAAATGATGTTGCAGGCCACTTTGGAAATGCATACTAACTCCGCAGGTCGCATATAAAATTATATGTCTCCCTATTAGATTTAGACTCACCATAGATACATTTTGGAGTGAAAAATTGAAACATAAT